AAAACATGGGCACTGTGGTAGAAATTAATTGCATATTAGATTTGTTTTGGATTTGATTTATAACACACAGTGAGTGATCTAGTATTATTTACTTGATGATGTTTCCAGCATAAATTATCATTGCTCATAATCATATCAATGTAATCCCACAACACTTTCGACATTCGATTTTTATAGTTACGTCACTTTATGTGAGTTGTTTTTATTGGTATAGCAATAGCCGAGTTTTTTTTCTGGATTATTGATCTTATTTAAGTATGTTATTCAATATTTAGCTGAATTCCTATGTTCGGCTATTTTGCTCCGATAGGAGCAATTAAGCAAAATAGTATAATCTATCAAATAGCATGCAATGACTGTGAGTCAGGTCAAGTATATAGGTGAAACTAGTCGGTCGGTCGATCGGGGTCAGTTAGAATAGCCGAACATAGGAATTTAGAAAAAAACTCTGCTATTGCTATACCTGCATTAACACACAACCACACAATAGGGTGGGTGGGATAAAGTCACTGTACTCAAGTCCAATATAATTAGGTGGACATTGAGAGAGAGAGATTGATTACTGAATCTTTCTTCATCGAATCAACACTGAACACATGTAATAGGCATGACGCATCACCTGGTATAGACCAGAGATATGGAGAATTTTGCTACCAATAAAAAAAACAACTCACATAAAGTGACGTAACTATAAAAATCGAATGTCGAAAGTGTTGTGGGATTACATTGATATGATTATGAGCAATGATAATTTATGCTGGAAACATCATCAAGTAAATAATACTAGATCACTCACTGTGTGTTATAAATCAAATCCAAAACAAATCGAATATGGAAAATAAATATGCAACCTTTGACCTAGTGGTTTTATGTGTTGATGAAAACTATATACCAATGATGTATTTTTGTCAAATGAAGAGTCTTCTTCAGAGTTACAGGCCGGTCTTTGTCTTCTTATTTTCGCGTGTAAGGAGAGTGTAAGATTGGAAGGGAGAACAGTCGCTACTCGTATCCACTCGAAGCGTCTCATTGTGTCGGTAGCGTTCTCGTGTTTCTTATTATCCTATCAATCTTTTTCATTCAGTTGCTTTACGAAAGTTATTAATAATCTTTGGTAATATCCGTGAAATTTGCTGCTCCGTCTATCGGAGGTTTAGGTAACCAGACGGTTGTCGATGGCACGAACGTGCACATGAGTTGCTTTGGTTGTCGCGGATGTTTACAATGGGGGATATTTTTAGGTATTGTAAAACTGCTTCTGGTTGTTTTCGAGTTGTTTTCTTCTAAAATGATGAATATTCGCATCCTTTTTCAAATATGACTGTCATTATTATTGTTTTGTTTTTCAGTTGGATGGTGAACTCACTTGGAGTGTTCTAAGACCATCTTCATTATTGATTAAATAAATATCCACTAGGCATATACTCATCAATTTCAATTGCTACGCATGGTTGTTCTTCAACTGTACAACAGCATGTTACAAGTGTAGCTTATTGGATTCACAGGAGATTGATTCATTTCCCTTTAGTCCTTCGTATTGAATGACTGGCCAGATTCATGTCTATCGAAAAAGTGATCCGGTATCATTGTGATTGGTCAATTCGACCAATCATCAATAACTAGAGAGCGATTAATGCTAATGATTCAGTCGTTTAGTCCAACAAATGATTGCAATGATAATAATAGTAATAATAATGAGGATAATAAAGAGGCAGTTGATCGTCTGTTAGTTAGTTTTAGCTATAACTATATCATTGCATGAATCTGTTGATTCACTTCAAGGTTTACAGAATACATTGCATGATGATGATGATGATGATGATGGTATCTGTTTACTACGACTAACCAATCATATTTCATCTTCAGGATATAATTTTTTACCAAATCCTTATTGGTCAGTGAGTGAATTTACAGCATTCTCTTCAATGGTTTGAAGATTGTTGTAGTGGAGTAAAACATTGGACTCTGCAATTATTGTTGGCAGCAAAAATCATCGAAACTTTCAAAGTAATCATATTATTAGTGATGAGAAGAAGTATTCGACTGCAGCCTCATTATCATCCCTTGTGTGTATGTCATCATCTTTCGCATTGACTGCTGAGGCTGTCTTCTATACAGAGTTGGATGATCTCATCCACCAGTATAGTATATTGATGAGAGTTTCCTGCGTCCATTAGCTGATTTATGTAAAAGTTGGAAACTGCATGATTAAGTTGATCCGGTGAGTTGAATGAATGAATGAATGAATATTAAGAGTAAAACGATTGTTTTTCTCATTATTTTGTTTCAATGGTATCATGATTAAACTTAGATGAAGGGTGATGTCATGTCTATTACCCGGCACGTATATATATATATATATATATATATATATATATATTTCCAGTGATTTCTAGCTTCTTCGTCTACTGACGATTAGAATGGAGTGCGGTGGTGGGTAGCTTTTGAGCCTGTTAACAATATATCATGAATGGCGTCAGTGTAACGAGTGCATTCATATCTAGCTACTGGCTATTTCTATCATAATTCTTCTCAACCCGCCTGTGTCCTTGTTTTATCTGGTCGTCCAGTCAGTTTTACTGTGTCAGTGCCCTACGTTTTTCAGTCATTTATAATGACTGATTACGAGGTGAATGTGGGTTGAAATATTGCTGCATCAGGTGAAGTGGTAAACTGGGTGGTCAGTGAGTTTTCACTCAGTTTTGACAATAGAATTCTAAGAGTCAGGTTTTTTGTAAATGTTATTAGAAGCCTGACTGCTAGAAGTCTACAGTCAGAACTGAGTGAAAATTCACTGACCACCCATTTGGTGTATAGACCAACTATTCACACTGGGCCAGGTCTTGGAACACACACACTTACCGACGCCCGACACTAGCTGTATTTCTCGACCTGAAGGCGTAATTCGACTCCGTTGACCAAGAAGTCTTATGACAATGTCTCTCACTGAAAGGCGTAGCGAGTAAGTAAATCACCTTATTGAAGGCTGTCTACTCGGACACTTGTGTGCGTGTTAGAGCGTATGGTGAGATGTCCGGGTGGCTGTACTTGTCGAGTGGTATCCGTCAAGGGTGCCCACTCTCTCCATTCTTATTCAGTTTTATCATAGATATTCTTATGGAGGTCTCCCTCTCGTCACCTGACTACACAGAAATTGACCTGATCGTCACAGGAGAATTTTCGTTAGACCTAGAATACGCAGATGACATAGTCGTGTTAGATGAAGACGTTGATAAGATGCAGAGTCTGCTGCACACTGAGTGGCAAATTGAGAATGTTTGGGATGCGTTTCTCACGACTGAAATGCGAATTGTTGCCCTGGATTGGTTGGTCTTCAACGATGCCTGGGGTAAGAATAGAGAGTGAAGTGGTTGAATGTGTTGACGACTTGACTTAGGTGAGAAGTGGGATCAGCCGTGCACTGGTGGATGAGTGGCCGATGAAATCTCTTTACGAATACAATAGGCGTGGCTGGCTTTCGTCAACTTACGCCACCTATAACGCCGCCGTGATATCCAATTGTCTATTAAGAGTGGCATGTACTGCATAGCAGCCCGATCTGTTCTACTGTATGGCTGTGAAACACTGAAGGCCATTGAAGGTGGAAGATATGAGAAGGCTTGAAGTGTTTGACCAGCGTTGCCTTCGTAGTATGGGCCGTATTGCGTGGTGTCACGACGTGAGTAACACAGAAGTAGGGTGTAAAGTATTAGGGATAAGAGGTGGGTCAGTTGATGATGCTGTTGTGAACGTTCATGGAGTGAGATGGTTGGCTGGGACATGTGTTACGTGTATGCATAGTCACCGATTGCTCCTCACATCATTCAGTAGCATATTTTATTGTTTTATGACATTTGTATTAAAGGTTATAACCTATGAATGAAGCCAGCTGAATAATCTGCAAGTAAAGACTTGACAAATTACTCAATGTTGTGACGAATATGAGTTTTGAAATTATTCGCAAAATGTTCGATTACATGCAAATAATTTTAGTCTAGTCCTTTATTGGCTTCAGGTGTGATTGCCACATGGAAAGGGTAATATCTGAATTGAAACTGAGTGATACCGGGTTTCCGTCCCGGTGGTTGGTGGTTGGTGCTTCCAATCCGGACGCCGTCCAAATCTTCATTTCACCTTCAATCATCACCCAGTATCAACCACGACTATCTCAGATAGTCGAAGTGATATTATTTGAATAGCGATAGATATTGTCGACTTTAGAACAAGCCAGCGTTAGTTACATGCTTGCTTATTGAGTAGAACTCAACACAGTGCGAACATGATACTTCGGTAGACGAGAGAATAACATTAACTGAAACACTGGTGAAAAATAACTGTCCATCAAAATTTATTAGGCAGCACAAAATAACCAGAGCACCAAAACTACCTCTTCACTTTGTCCCAAACAAAGATATCTTCATCAGTCTTCCTTACAAAGGTGACTCTCATAGAGCAATCCTTAAACAGAAATTTAACGCTACTCTTAGAAGGACTTACTATGCAGTTACTGTGCAGTTACGGTTCGATTAATGGAAACCAACAAGCCCGTATTTTCTTTCTCTCGAACCCCTTCAACCTGTGAACGACGATGTCACATCCCATTGTATTTACCAATTCAAATGTACGTGTGGTGACACATACATAGGGAGGATTCATATATCCATGCAAGTGAGGGTCTACGAGCATATTCTAAAATGGCTTCACAAGCAAACTGAATCACCTGAAGCTATAAATGTTTGTAGCAGACGTCTAAATTTTTCCATCACGAAACATATCGTTAAGGTAGGTCACAGGATTCACGTGGTTACTTCCTATAGACTTATTTACAAAATATGTTGAAGGACGAATCCACAAATTGGTTAAGGCCTTAGCTATTAGGGAAGGAAGCTTAAACCACCTTTGTGTGTTCAAAAACAATTTGTGAAATTGATTCAACAAACAAACAAACAAACAAATAACCTCTCGACAACAGTGAATTGACACAGTGAATAAGATTGAATCAAATTGTATAATAATTTAGGCAATTGTAGTTCACTTACTTAATTCTTTAAAGTATTCAGTTATTAACTCATTCATCAATCTATCAGCTGGTTCAATTCGATCTATCCACTTGGCAATAATACTCGAGAATTCAGTCACCTTTATATATATATATTCAATATTATGCACATGAGTATTATTACTGACTGTTACTATTGGAAAATAAACTTGATAGATTATTTAAACAATTCGTAAGAATTAGTAGAAGGAATAAATTGAAATTAGGTGGCAAATAGGCAGAAGGTAATGTTTGTTGAATAGAATTGAATAATGATGACGGTGATGGTGATGGTGACGCTGACAATCTCTTCAATGAAGACGCAGAGATAAACATTGTTTTCTTTGTATAATGTAAACTCCTCTTGTTCAATTTTATGTATAGACATTTGAATCGAATCATGAGTAGTTGATAAATTTCAATGTAATTGTTTTGAAATGAATAATTATCCAATTTTGAGTGAATAAATTCCATGATGAAAGATGATTACTAGAATTTTCTGTTTCTTCAAAATCAATACATATTAATTAAATGAAGAATATGTTTTGACAAGAAAAGAATATCATGCAATGTATTGGTCAAATCTTTATTCACCGGAGTAGTTAACTGATCTAACAGATGAGATAAACTGAAGTGGTATGCATCAATTAAAGATTTCAATGACTGAAGAAAGAGAAAAGTAGAAGAAAAAAAGTATATAATTATAACTGTAGAATGAATCTTGAAATACTTCGACTTTTGATTCTATCAGTCAGTAGTCAACAACGTAAACTATTTAATGTAATCGATATGAAACCTTAACGAGTGTAAAAAGCAACGACTAACAAACAAGGTAACCTCGCCTGGTTAACTAGTTTACTAGTTACTAGCCGGTCCTAAGCCCGGGTAAAGAGGGAAGGTTGGGCATAGGGCTAGCAACCCTACCCCGTAAAACAAATCTAACCGCTAAAGAAACTTCAAAGCACAAACAAAATATAAAAAATGAAAACAAACTTATTCCCCGCTGGAATCGGAGAGGCGAAATGACGCCAGTTGGTGAAAGCCTTCGGGAAGCCAATTGGCCGATGTGTCTTCTCTTTTTTCGATGAAAGCGAAAGTAAACGTGGGGACATGGAATGTCCGCACCATGTTTGAACCCAGTAAGGCAGCCCAGATTGCAAAGGAGATGAGAAGGTATAACATCGAAGTGCTTGGGATTTGCGAAAGCAGATGGAATGGGAGTGGACTCTCCAAACTGTCAACTGGAGAGTCAATAATCTACTCCGATATTGTCACCCAGACGCCAACCACGAGCACACTGAGTTTTGGAGTGGCTATCATGATGTCCTCAAGAGCATCGAAGGCTCTCATGCAGTGGGAACCAATCTCCTCCAGGATCATGACAGCAAGATTCAACTCAAAAGGAAGAAAGGTCACAATCATACAATGCTACTCCACGCACCTACAAATAATGCAGAGCAAGAGAAAAAGGAGGAATTCTACAGACAACTTCAATCAACACTGGACAAGACCCCGTCTCAGTTGGCGATATCAAAATTCTAATGGGCGACATGAATGCCAAACGTTTGTGAAATTGATTCAACAAACAAACAAACAAATAACCTCTCGACAACAGTGAATTGACACAGTGAATAAGATTGAATCAAATTGTATAATAATTTAGGCAATTGTAGTTCACTTACTTAATTCTTTAAAGTATTCAGTTATAACTCATTCATCAATCTATCAGCTGGTTCAATTCGATCTATCCACTTGGCAATAATACTCGAGAATTCAGTCACCTTTATATATTTCAATATTATGCACATGAGTATTATTACTGACTGTTACTATTGGAAAATAAGCTCGATAGATTATTTAAACAATTCGTAAGAATTAGTAGAAGGAATAAATTGAAATTAGGTGGCAAATAGGCAGAAGGTAATGTTTGTTGAATAGAATTGAATAATGATGACGGTGATGGTGATGGTGACGCTGACAATCTCTTCAATGAAGACGCAGAGATAAACATTGTTTTCTTTGTATAATGTAAACTCCTCTTGTTCAATTTTATGTATAGACATTTGAATCGAATCATGAGTAGTTGATAAATTTCAATGTAATTGTTTTGAAATGAATAATTATCCAATTTTGAGTGAATAAATTCCATGATGAAAGATGATTACTAGAATTTTCTGTTTCTTCAAAATCAATACATATTAATTAAATGAAGAATATGTTTTGACAAGAAAAGAATATCATGCAATGTATTGGTCAAATCTTTATTCACCGGAGTAGTTAACTGATCTAACAGATGAGATAAACTGAAGTGGTATGCATCAATTAAAGATTTCAATGACTGAAGAAAGAGAAAAGTAGAAGAAAAAAAGTATATAATTATAACTGTAGAATGAATCTTGAAATACTTCGACTTTTGATTCTATCAGTCAGTAGTCAACAACGTAAACTATTTAATGTAATCGATATGAAACCTTAACGAGTGTAAAAAGCAACGACTAACAAACAAGGTAAATGTAAATGTAAACATTTTATCATTGCCTTTTTCTAACAGCCGGTCGAATATATAAATTGAACCAGACAATACAACATATCGGAACAAGTTACCTACCATATTTGAACAACGTATACCAAAATAAAAGGCAACACAATGTAAGATAGAAAAATTAGAAGAAGGGGAATATGATCAAAAATTGTAAGAGGCGACAAGAGAGTAAGACAAAGATGAAAATTCGATAGAACGATGAGAATGCAAGTAGTATATAACCAATGAAACTGAATCTATGCCATATTTCATAGAATTTCGAGCCACCGATTTCATTTGTTACTTAACATGAAGTAAACCCATAACAATGTTATCACGCAAGCTCTCTCAAATCATCATCAATCTTTCATATCTTTGTCTACTGACTTTCCTTTATATTTATTTCTCTATCCATATTATATAGTCGTAGCTAATTTTCTTCAAATTTTCAACCTTCAATGACGATTTGAGTTGAAGGAATAGAATATAATCCCTGGTACCTTGGAACAGCACTGTGAACAACATACTATAGCTTTTAATGTCTACACTCTCAGTCGAATTGAACGACAAGCTCCAACAGTCAAAACTCTACAAAATCGGGTCATGAATGACTGCTTTCTTTATGTAACACCCATATCCATTTAACTTAATTTAACCAACATGCCAAATGTGAAAAGTCACCGTTTTACAATCTGCACATTTGACGGCTTCTTCTCGTCGTCTCGCAGGTAAAGCACTAAGTCCTACAGCTGAAAATGCACTACTTGACGACTAGAACACTTGCCTGTTCTCTGTTCCACTCGACGATGCAGTGAGAAGTTAAAAGAGCAGCGAAACTTCCCGTCTCCTTGTATTTCCAACTTACACACTGTGACTACAGTTCGAATGTGACGAAAAATGAGTTTTACTCAAAACTGTTGAGTCTCCTATTGAAAGCAACAAACATTCAGATGTGGTTGTTGCAGTAAATGATTTCAATGCCGAAGTTAGTAGACTAATAAGTCAAGCAGAAAGGCACCCAGGTGACAATTTCAGAGTCTCAACAGAAGAAAAACACATAACGGTAATTGCCTGCTATAAATATACTCAGACAATCAATCACCTATTTTGCATCAGCATGGACTTCAGACATAGAGGCAGGCAGGAATTGTCTGTCTATTAATTATCACTGAACAGAATTGGCACAGGATTGATTGTCACCCCTTCTACAGCACTGGTTTACACAGTGAACATGTGTTGGTTAGAGCAGGTCAGTTCCTGCACCTAAATGCATGTAGAAAACCCAGTTCCAAAACAGCTTGATGATGAGAGTACTAAGCATGCTTTTATTCAGCAACAGGTTAGACGCTAATCGAAACAAGACAAAGTCACTCATTCTGAAGAAACCTGTCTTCAACTCCAGTTGGCTGTAAAAACGGAGATGAAGGTGGTAACTAACCCTGAGAAAAGCATTAGAAAGGGTTAGTCAATCTCAATCAATCTTATTCCAAAACAATGGATGCACGCGAACGCATGCCAATAGGCCCTGATCACAATGAAGGGCAGACACAATTAAAATGAAATCAACAGTTTGTTCTATGACCAGACCATGAAGGCTAAAACGATGAGAATGGTCTTGGTGATAGTTACCTGTAAACAACAATTATTCGCACTGATTAAGGAAAATCAAAGTAAATCGTTTATGCTTGATGACACTATGGTGATGAAGCATAGATCTGTAGTCCATATGCACGAAACACTAGAAAGGTGAATGGAACAGGCAGTTTAAACCTGCCTCCAGTTAGCCTTTGCTTCCCTGCTTACAGTCGTCTTCTCAAGAGAATATTATTCCTCACGTGGTTACACCACGACACCTTGCTATGAAGGCAACTGTGGTCAAATACCCGAAGTTTTCTAATATTCTCAACTTTTAGTGTTTCACACCTACACATATAGAAAACGTTCAGAGTCATACATACATCAATGTTTATTGCATGACATTTGAAGCGTAGTTTATTTTCCCCCAATCTTCATGTTAAGGTATTTATGAAACCTTCAACATTTTGGTACTTAAAGCCATAATACTTTTCATGCTTCGACTTTTTAAGGGTAGTCAAGGGTAGTCTAATATCTTCGAAATAAGTGTTGATTCACCCCTTTCTTTCTATCGATTAGGTGTAAATTTTATGGAAACAGAAACCGATTACTTCTACAGTTGACCTTATAGATTTTTAGGACTATCAATTCGATTATACAGATAAGATAGACAGAGAGACAAAATCAACGTAGAACTCAGCATAAAAGTGCATCGGTTCAAGTTGTCACACATTTTAGTAACACGAAAACAATAATAAGTTGGTACAAAAAACACTGAGATATCAGAATAAGCAAAAGTGTAAGGGAGGAGAAGGAATTTGAAAAATCACAGGTAGTGAAAATGTTCAAGCTTTAGAAGACGTCAGAGAATAAATAAATGTATGCCACTGTCATCGATTTTTAGTAATGTTAGCATATGTTTCAAAGTGGTTATTCCTACGGTTTCAGGGACGCCAAACAGGTAGTCTACACCTCCCTACATGGCTCAGACTAACAATCAGAGGCTTCATGGTGTGATATCACGTCTTGGTCAAAGCGCCTGAAGTCTTCTTTCTGTTAACCTATTACAACTTAATGCTCCGAGTTGCCACACCTCATATCAGTACATCAAGTAAAAAAGTAGTGAAGTGGAAAATGGAGAAAAGAAAACTCAGTCAAAAGATATATCAAGTACTCAAGGAGAGAAAGGAGGAATGAGAAAATGGTGAGATTCGGCATAGCATCGTTAAGATGAGGATAATGTGGGTATACATATACGCCAGTGACATCGATTCTGAGCCATATCGCCACCTACAGTCAGTCTCCAAACACTGGTTTCTCTTGTCTCGCAGACCTCAGCCGGCTAGTCTGCATCATCGCACATCTTCATTTAACACGACCATGTCATCTGCGTATTCTAGGTCTAACGAAAATTCTCCTGTGACGATCAGGTCAATTTCTGTGTAGTCAGGTGACGAGAGGGAGACCTCCATAAGAATATCTATGATAAAACTGAATAAGAATGGAGAGAGTGGGCACCCTTGACGGATAC